CGTCTCCGTCCACGGGAGACGCGCAAGTGCAGCTGCCACGCATGAATGTTTGATCAACTCGCCGCGAGAAGGCTTGCCCTCCGAAATCCGCGTCAAGATCCGAGGCCGCGCCGTCACATATGTGGGCGGGCACACCTGATGAATGAATGAAGGAAGTGATGAATGAATGAATGAATGAATGAAGACTTGCAAGAAGGCGGCGAAGAAGCAGGGCGGGGATGCGAGTGCTCGTCGCAGCAGAGTGAAGGTGCGCGGGGACGACGTCAAAAGGCGGCGCCGTCAAGACAGCAACAAGACTCCAACAGTCATGTTACAAAAATAAAAATACTGAGCTGGCAATTCGGTCACAGAACTGCGTCATTGCTAAAACATGATGCTGGAGGATTTCATTTTCTTTTTAAACAAATGATTCGCATTTAGCATTAAGATGACACAAAGTTCAGGCCTGCCGTGTTGGGCGTGTGCATTACTCTTGTCAAAAATGTGGAGTGAGCAGTCCAAATCACGAGTATTTATGATGGCCTTGTGGTTAATTCCACCGTGATTACGATGACAAAAAGATATCTTTTTTTTTCCAGAAATAAATAGCGTTTTATTTAGTTCCCAATCGAGGATGACGATCCGTTGTGGGGGGCGGGACGAGCGACGCTTACGATTGGCTGGGGGCCGCCGGGGCCGCTCCTGCGATTGGCCGCTCGGGCTGGTTTGCTTCTCGCTGGCTCTCTTTGTGCGCATGCGTGCGATTTGCAAACGAAGCCTGCGAATCACCTCATCGCTGTTTCAAAAGTTTCTATTTGGTCATCGCCGACAAAATGCATTTTGGTTGATTTCACGACTTGGCTCTGCATTTTACTTTTCAGGAGGTGGCGGCGTGAGCAGCTACCGGAGATCTCGTCCACTCGAAAGGTATTCATGATATCGTGGATCGGCATTATTGTCGATTTATATTTGCTGCTGCACGGTGAAGACAGAAGCCATTAATTTGTTGTTGTTGTTGTTGTTGCTGTTGTTGTTTCCATCTCAATCTCGCCGTCTGGCTACACCTTGCAATGGAGCGCGCGGCTGTCCGAGCAGGCACAGAGACCGCAGTGGAGGCCGGACCGGGCCGGGCCGGGCAGGGCCATTCTCAACACCTGACGTCCGTCAACACATTAAAGCGAGGCTGAGCAGGACACGCAGCTCGAGACCCGCCCCACAGTCTGTCGTCCAAGTCCTTTCTGGAACTCGCAAAGCCAACCGGCGCCTCTGTCTGAATACATTGACAATTTCGATTATTTTGCGCGGAGCCTCAAACCAAATCGTAAATAAGGCCGACAAAAAATGTGGGGAAAAAATTCTAAATATCGAAATGCATCGATTGTCAGTCATCCATGTCCGACGTTTTGCGAGTTTTGAGAAAAGGCAAGCGGACTGTTCTTATTTGTTGAAGATGTTTCAACTCAAATCCAAAAGGGCTTTTTATTTGTGTGGCCTTTCTGATTCAAATTGAAACAACAAGAACCGTTAGAAAGCCCAGACTGTTTCACTATGGATAGTTGTTGGCGTTGTTCCATTCGTTGAGGTTTCCCGTTGTTTGCTGAGATGTCCTACACTGTGAGCGTGCCTTGAACGCACCTCGAGTCTGGCGCGAAGTGCCCGACGCGAGAGAAAACCGTTTTGTTCGTGTCGTGAAACTCCATCATTACAGATTGCCTGTGTTCTCCCACCTTGTTGTTGTTGTTGTTATGTGAACGCCAAAGGGTGAGCTTAATCATTTATAATGTTCGTCTCAAACGATTACTGTACGCGAGAGCGTCGGCTCGTGAGTGACGTCACGTCGATCCACGCTCGCCAGCACTTTCGGCTCACGTGCTATTATTGAATATTTGGATGTGAATTGTTTATCGTGTTCTTTACCTGTGTCGTTGCTTAGCCCCTTGAATAAACCTCTGAAATAATATTTATCATGCTAAGAAATGTTTGCCTGCCTCATCCTCTGTCCAGAGTGTTCCCACAGTCTGTTTATATACTGCTCCTACAACGTGAAAAAAGGTAGGCTGTTCAAGAGAAATGACAGCAGATGCTCTACGCCTTGATTAAAAATATCCCAAGTGCCAGTGGGAAAAGTATCGGATGGTAAGAACAGTAAAGTAAATCCTTGCAGGCGCCGACCGTTTCATCAAGTGTCCACTATCGCCGATTGGCACGACACAATGTCCCACGTGTTATTTCGATCTTTTAATTTCTTCAGCTCCAAATGAAATCCTTTGCGGGGTGTGCGGAATTGACTTTTGTTTTATTATTAACTGATTGCCGTTGACCACGTGGACGGAGCTGAAAAACGGAGGCCGTTTTGGAGCCCGCGGCCTCCCCGTAGGGGAGGGAGCGCTCGTATGTGCAGCCTGTGACGGCGCCTTCGCGTTGCAACAACTCGCCGTTGTTTTCAATCTTGCAGGACTGAACCGCCGCACTTTGCGGCACATCCGCTGCCCGTGTACTGTATTACGATTTGATTTCGTACCTATTTTGAGCACTGACGGCCGAATGAGAGCGGATCAGTACCGGTGACCTTCAAGTCCGGAATTGGAAATGTGCGCGTTTCGGAGGCCACCTGTTTATGCCTCGCGGTGGCGGGAGCAGAGGAGGCCTAATTGATTCTTAAGTGGTGTCTCTGTGGAGGAAAAGAGGGCGAAGAGGATAGGGCTTGGGTGGGGGAGGGGGGCACCGTTCACCACTTCAGGGAGCGCCGTGTGTGTACCTGCCTGGATGCGCGAGGATGAGAGGAGAAGAGGAGCGGTTCAGAGCCGGAGGGTTCAATGCGAAGGATGCTGCGGCCGGGAATCGGCAAATCAACTCCGCCTCAATGAAATGATATTAAAACTCGCTCTTGTTATTCACGTTTCAAATAGACACGCTAACGTGCCGCTCAGCACCACCACCGCCACCTACCTAGATTTTTGATTTCTGTGACTCCGCAGAACCGTTGAAACACTTTAAAACAGTACACGTAAACGTACGGCTCGCGGGCCAGAACCAACCCGCCAGTGGGTGCAAATGTGGCCTGTGACTGCAGTGGATGAGTCTAAATAACTGTTGTTGCTCATTTTGTCCAGTGGAGGGAGCACCGACGGACATTTCAATGACGTTCTCTGTCAATTATCTTGCGAAGTGTACTTTTTCAAGTTGATAACTTGCTTCCAAGCGCTAAACCTCATTCAACGTGCTAATGCAAATCAGTGAGTAAACATGAATTCTACTGTCATCATAAAATAAAATCATGACCCCAAAAACAAGCATAAATCACAGATGGTGATCCGGTGGGAGATTGTAAAGTGAACTTGCTCCTCTACGCCGAGGCAATAAGCCGACGTGTCAAGCCTCATTCAGCACACAATGGCGGATCCATCACGCTGGTGACACACACTGCCAAGCAACTCCCCCACGCCCCCCCGTCACCACCCGCCACCCTCAACACACACACACACACACACACATACCACCTTCTCTGCATTGAACTGACTAATGACGCAAACGCTCAAATTCATCTTTGCAGACATGCAGTCAGAGAAGCTGTCCTCCGTGTGTGTGTGTGTGTGTGTGTGTGTATATATATATATAATATTATAATTATATATATTATATTATATTATAATTATATATATTATATATTAGATTGTATTAGGTTATATTAGGATCCCTCCATTGAGCCAAACTTGGAGGAATTTTTGTCCGAATCTTCATTAGAAGTTGACACAATGTAAATCTTAATGTTGAGGAGGGTCTTGTGTGGTGGGGAAGCTGGCGGGGTCGACTGGGGAGGGGGGGCACCCCTCATTAACTGTCGCTAACAAGCCGTGTAAATACACTGATTGGACAGCTCGGATACAAGCGCGCGGCCCTGCCAGGAAGTGCCCCTAATGAGGGCACACAATGCAAACCACATACAAGAAGAAGAAGAAAAAGAAGCAGGCTGGAGGGGTGGGGGGGGGGGAAAGAAGAAAAGACGTTGAGAAATGTTTGAAACTTTCTGTTGCGACTTCTGCTGCGTTTCGAAATTAGACTTTTTTTTCTTGGTTCATTTTACAAGCCTCCTCAATATTGCGAGGCATGAAAACGGCAACGCTAAATGTTGTGCACGTGTCTACATTTGATGTATAAAAAATAAATAAAAAAAAAAAACGAAAAACACTTGTCCGTTAAAATAAAACTGCCGAAAATGTAAATTGGAGAATTTAAAACAGCAAATATTTTCGGGAGTAATACCGTCAAATATTAGCATCAATATTATATATTTATAGGAATAATGACACACTGGTAAGTAGACTCTAGACTGCGCTACAATAATGCAAAGAACGGTAAGTGCAAATAAAATATTTCAGTCCAATGCAAAACGGGAATTAAAAATCAAACGATTCAAGTTTACGTTCACGTGAGCCTCAAAAGTCAAATAAAGACTCTCGAACGTTGCAGAAAATCGGCGCGCTTGTAAACACACTTACACGACCAAAAGCTTCAATGCAAGTTTGTTTTGCACACGCAATAGAGAAACAAGAAATGACTCCTTATTTGCTCATTTTTTTCATTGATGTGACTTTTCCACAATTAAATCCACTGCATAGGCAGCAATTAGTCGTTTTCTGTGGGGGTTTTTTCAAACACTTGACATTTGAAGGGATACTCACGTGGGGCCGCTGTATAATTTCCACCTTGTCCACCCATGCAACGCTGCATTACAAGCGCAAAAAAAAAGAAAAAAATGAAACACATTTCAACACAAAAATCATTCAAAATTACAAACAACCAAAATGTGCCATTTCAAATCTCACACACACACACACACACACACACGCACAGACATGCATGCAAAAAATAAAAATAAAAACAACGAATTTCAAGAGACTTTGCGCCAAATCGAACAGAAATGTTTCTTACCGTATTCATGCTGCGTGTCGCTCCCTCGGTGTGTGCTGCCGCACTGTGTGGCCAAGCAGGGTCCTGCTTGTGCGCGCGTGCGTGGCTCCATCTGCACGCGCACAGAGAGAGAGAGAGAGAAAATGTTCACAGGAAGAAAATAGCAAGGAGTTGTATTTGTGACCTCTCTCTCTCTTCTTCTTCTTCTTCGTCTTCTTCTCGTGACGTCACAAGCCCCATCTCATCCACTTTGCAGGAGCAAGATTGAAGCGTCGTAGCGACGATAACTAACAAGAATTGTCCCAAGCGGGTGTATTGAGGATTTAAAACTACAACACACACACACACACACACACACACACACACACACACACACACACACACACACACACACACACACACACACACACACACCCACACATAACACATAGCAATCTGCCCCCCGCTGCTCGGAACATTGAGCAAGCCCTGGGATAAACACACAATTAGCGGCAGGTGAATAAACTTGTTTGGGAGGGGTGTTAATTACATGCTTAACGTAAACAAAAGGCGAGTAGAAGAATGTGAATTAGCATTGCACCCCCCCCCCTCCCCAAAGCAGCCACCCACCACCTACCACTGGCACCCTTTCCCATTCAGGTTTTACATTTCACCTCTTGTCCGCTCTAGCAGCGATTTCCGAATTGCCTGCGAGGGTTGAAAAACAACAACAAAAACAAAAAAAAGTGTCCTGCACTAATGCCAGATAACACCCGCAGCTTGACGCTGGAGTGGCGCACTAGTAAATTGGAGCGCCGGGAGAGCCGGTCAGGTAAGGAGGCTTTGCATTATGCGGCTCAGCTAAGCCCTTCACTTGTGACTTCATTTGGGCGAGGCGCATTGAAGGCTTGCAGCTTGAACCCCAGCGTGAAAATACCGCCTTTTACTTCCACTCCGAGGAGGAGCCCCCGCGTGCCCCCCCCCCACAGCCCCTCCCTACCATGCCCATCTCCTTCCATCCCAAATAATGACTTCCCTTGCCTGCGTTGACGTCGAGCAACTCACCCAAATGTCCTCACGCGGAGCAGCTCGCATGCATGGCTTCAAGTCTCGCGAGTGGAAAGTCGGCGGAAAGTTTGTGGCGCGGGAGAAGGTGCACGTCTAGAAACAGAGAGCGGAGGAAAAGTTTTGAATTCCGCAACGATTTGCTGCAAAGGCGGCTTAGGATCATTATGTCAGCTTTCCGCCGTTCGGATTAGGCGTCTCCAATCGGGCGGCGGCGGCGGCGGCGGCGGCTCACAATGCGCGTCACTATGCCTCCATCGGCGCGATTTTGACACCCTGGGCTGAATATGAGCCGCAAGTATGAAAATCACACCGAGCGCCGCGGCTACCGCACTTAGCCGAGTCCTGTGACCGTGGATATATGGACATGGATCGTGTCCTTAGCTGCAAGAAAAAAAAACAGAGGGGGGGGGCAGCAAAAGTCACACATGAGCAGCGAGGTTTCTTGACTAGGAGGCTTGCTGGGGGGGG